CTTCATTTTCTGGTGGATTGTTATTACAATCCACATTTCCTTAACTTAAATACTCCCCAACTATTAGCAGATACTATTTCCTGTAGCCTGCCATTCAGCGACAACATTTAATAAGACTGAGATGAACAAAAATAGATTTTCATTACAGCCCTAATTTTACCACACTGTATCGTGAATGTGTGTTCTGGCAAAAACATGCGATTGGCCTCTCTTTTTGTATGAATAGAAAATCGAAATAATAATTGCATTCACACACCAACCATATCCCAGTTCCTCTTCTCTAATAGCTGAAATAGGCAATCTGACTGCTAGCAGAAGTACCAACAGTGCTGTAATAACAGATGGGACTTACAGCTTGATTGCTTCTGATGTTGCCAAAGCTACAGCTAACATTTCCCCACTGAAAGATGATGACATGGGGAGACTTTGCTAAGTATTGGTTTAGTATAGCTCTTTGTAAAAGGGACATTTCATTGGTAATAGACTGTACAATTTATTTTTGATTGTTTTTCTACAGGACCCTTTGAAGCATGTAGTTAATTTGAAGACAGGCAACAGGAATATATGAGATTTTGTTGTGTGTGTGTGTATGCAGTACCCCTGGCCTACAGCGGGCATGTGAGGAAGGGTGTGTTGAACCGGAGGCAGCTACAGGAGGGGACTGCAGTGATGACACACTTCCTGCAGGCAATGGGGACGCTCAACAGTATGTCACACATAAAATATTTTTCTTTCTATCTATCTATCTATCTATCTATCTATCTATCTATCTATCTATCTATCTATCTATCTATCTATCTATCTATCTATCTATCTATCTATCTATCTATCTATCTATCTATCTATCTATCTATCTATCTATCTATCTATCTATCTATATACCTATCTATCCATCCATCCATATCTCTATCTAGATAAATACAAAAATGATTAACACAGATTACACTTAATGACAAAGATCTCCAAACATTGTGATTAACTGGGAGCTGAAAGTACCACATGCAGGTCTTTCTGTTAAAAGCTTTTGCTAGGCTTTTCGTTCTCTCACAGATTTCTCCTTAGAGTCCGATTTTGTTGCTACCACCAAACTACAGTATCAGTTGTCACCAACACTAGCCGGATGTCAGATTTGCCCATTTCAGTCGACTAAATGTTGTGCACTGACCTGAAAACGTGTGGTTCATAGGAACCACCAGTTGTGTGCTTCTCAGCTGATTCCCTCCTGGCTGTTTTGTAAGCTATGCACTCAGGAGGCTGCTCACTTGGTCACATGAGAGTGTGAGTCCCGTGAACCCACAGCATTAACGGGTATTATTACTATTCTTCCTAATCAGACTAGCAGGCTCGGATCAATAATAAGCTAAAGGTGTGTGAGGCAGTGACCATGTGAAAGTGTGGGGTGAGAATGTGTGTAAAAAAAAAATATTCTATGCATAGAAAAAAAATACTCATATGCATACAGTTATATGTATGTGATCCACTGAGACTGTTTAGTATGTTAGTGAAAGTGTTCAAGACACAAAGTGAAATCTGATGTGTTCCTGTGTGCACAGACGATAACAAAGCATCACTGAATTATTAAACAGTTGACAGAGTCATCTTGAAATGTGTCCTTGTTAAGAGATTTCATAGCAGCAGTGACAATCCAGTTGTCATTAGAGAAGGGAAACTGCTAAAAAGGCTGCCAACAACAGCAAAAGTCACTTTCAGAATTCTCAAGTGTCGCACGATTTTCAGAAGTATCAACTCAACGAAAAAGGCAAAAAGTGCTGCTCCCTGTACACACAAGGATGTCAGAAGCCTCAATGCAAAGCGATGAAATTCAGTGAGTGCAGATGAACATTGAGATCCAGTCATGTAAATTGTGGAAACTTAATGTACTTCTTTAGCTTAAAGTCTTTACCCATTTAGAAATGTAAGGAAACGGTTCTTTGTAAAGCAGATAAAGAAACAAAGCTACTGTTTGTTTTAGGTGTTTTATCTTATAATCACTGACAGGCTTACACTGGTCTCTTTCCCTCGCTCCACTTGGGTACATGCATCAACGCAGGCAGTTGTTACAGAAAAGAAACAACATCTCTAATTAAATACATTTGAAAATAACAAAACCTTTACACGATCCAAGCCCAAAGCCTAACATAACAAATCCGCTCCAACCTGACCTAGAAAACCAACTTTGCCGGGTAACAGAATTATATTATTGCAACTTGCCAGATGACAGCAGAGGAAGTTATGAATTCCCTAAATGTATTCTTGGTGAGATGCCGCCCTTCAGCGTACATGCTTGAAACATTTGGAATGACATTAAAGTGGTGGTTTGCATACCCTTGAGAGTAATTCAACTAGGGCATTGCAAAGTGCATTCAGCATTTCGGGAAATTCTTGCACCCAGGACATTGTAACCTGCAATACAATAATGCTGAATTATCTATTTATAACGGGTTGTGTCATTACCTCCCAGCGTATCTCCGTCCACAGTTTGTAAGCTTCTCCATCTGGTGCACCATTAAATAAACAGACCTAGCGGTGTATTAGCATTTGCTCGCAGCACCATTATCAACAGCAGTTCGACAAACATTATGAAAACACCAAATTAAGTTATGCTTGTATTTTACTGGTAAGCTCAGTGTCCCATCAGAATGAGCTTTTCTGTATTATCATGTAAAGCAGAACGATTGTATTCTCATTTGGAACAGGTAGCTTCAGGCACTCTGTCAGAGAGTATTACTGCTGTCAAACAGTCTATTCTCTTTCTGCAAACTGTTAAATGGATGCCAACTGCGCTTCTGTCCTCTCTTCCAGGATAGCGCCATTTGACCCATCTGATGTGGTTTCAACCCTGGCCCAAAACAAAGAGCAGCATGAAGAGGAGCATGCGACAGCCATGTCCGACCTCCCGCCCCGCTCCGCAGAGGAGTCGGCCAACACTGGAGCAGGACCAGACTCCTCACAAGACCTCAGGACTTCCGTTCTCTAGGGGATCCGACAGTTGTGTCTGTTCCTACTGTATCTAAATAAAACCCAACAAGCCACTCTCCATCCATGCACCCAATCCTACTCCCCCAGAAACCCAATGAATTACCCTGTATTCTCAAACCTAACCCACACAGACAGCCTTGGATTCTGACTGTAATAACTACTGTATATGTAACAGATTTGTATTTGGTGTTTATGATTGCTTGTCTGTCTGTATGAGTGTAAATTGAAAGAAAAAGATATTGTCACATATTTGGCATGTGTGAACATGTAGAACTAGAAGTGTGCATTAACAGGTGAGCACACTGTGAAGGTGTGAACAGGAAGAAAATGTTTTAAAGTAATGTGTGCATGTACTGTATGAGAGTGTGCGTAAATGTGATAAAAGTGAGTTAAGTTAGATTTCTGTACGTTCTTTAGGATAGAATGAAATTGTTAGGTAAATGTTATTCATACTGGCCACATCAGTCACGCTTTATGAAGCGTTTGCAAATAATATAAAAGGGGCAGTGGGTTTGATACATTCTCCCATTTTATTGGCAATTCTGAAGGTGCTTTGGCAGAAGCAAAGACATCTGCAAAGTCTCATTGAAATGTACACTGACTAACCATAATAAAAAAAAAGATTTTTACATTATTGACATGCAATTTAAAATAGATTTTTATTCTACATATTTTTGACCTATTTGTCATCATTAGTGATTTAGTAGTACCAAATAAAAATGATAATGTTGACTCTCTTCTTTCCTTCTTGCCTCCCAGTATGGATCATTCTGTACTCTGCAGAACACAATCTGAATTCTACAGTTATTTGAGCTCACAAATTAAGTAATTAGAGGAGGTAAATTACTAATTTGTGCGAACAAACTATCATGAAGTATTCTCTACAGATTACAAACCATCTCAATGTTGTTGAAAGCAATTACATTTGCTCATGTATGACTTACACACGGATGCCATCTCACAGTTAGTCTTTTATTGTGTGAGAGACTGCACAGACTGGCGTCATTTGGGTTATGATCACAAGGCATATGAATGTTGTGTGTGTATGTGTGTGTGGTCTGGTCATGCGCTCAATAGCTATTTAAGCCAGGAGAGGGAAATGCGCCGACTCTTGGGGTCCTACAGTTCTGAAGAAAGAGAGGAGCAGCATGCACAGTCAGAGGTAGGGGAAACATTTTACACTGATGCTTTTTCCCATAATGAACTGTAATATGCATTAAGTCTTAAAACTTAACAGTGCAAATGATTGCTTCAGCACTGTTTACAAACTGAAAGCGTATATGTAACTAATGTACAATTAAGCTATTGATAACAAATAAAGAATTAAAACAAAGTTTTGTTTTACATGAGGATAGACAACATATTTTTTTTAAATAGCTCATGTTGCACTTGTTGAGTACCATTTTGGTAGTGATTTCAATCATTTATGAAAAACTGTATCTCAGCAAACGCTCAACGTGTAAAGCATTTTCTCCACGTTTTATTTTTGCTTGAATGGGTAACTTTTTTTCAGTGGTGGTTATCACTGTTTCGTTGCCAAACTATTAGTCACTCCTTCATTCATTCCTAATCAACAAGCCTCAAAAGACAAGCAAATCTTTCAAGAAAAAGTTGAAGCAAATCATGTCTTGCCGTCTGTCGTTGAAAGCATTTCTGAACTTGTAAGAGTTGAAAGCTAATGGCTTTGTGAGTTATGAATAATGACTCGCAGTGCCTACAGGGGCGTGTAAGAAATGAAGTTTCAGAATAATGTTAAGACAATTCGCTTTAACAAGAGAACAAGTGAGTTGTTCTTGAGCCTAATTGAAGTCTATGTCTGCAGTGTATTGAATTTTTTGTCTTCATCTTACCAACATTGTGCTGGGATAACCCATGGCCCCGTACAACTCTGAACACAATAAGTGGCTTTGAAAAAGCTAGCTGTAACAAATCAGATCAAGTTAAATCTGTAGGACTATGTTTGTGTTTCTAACTTTGTTAGTTACTTATTCTCAAATGTATCCTCTCTTGATTTTGGTAGCATGTGGCGAGTGGGTCTCCTCCTGGTGACCCTGTGTGCCACCCTAACGCTGGCCCAGTTCCCCCGACAGTGCGTCACTCCTGAGGGTCTGCTGAGTGGCCAGTGCTGCCCGTCCCCTGCGGGGGTGGCAGGGGATGAGTGTGGCTCCAGCACAGGAAGAGGGCAGTGTGTGGCCATCGCAGCAGACAACCGCCGCCATGGACCCCAGTACCCTTACGCTGGGCGCGATGACAGAGAGAGGTGGCCGCTGAGATTTTTCAACCGCACTTGCCAATGTAACGGGAATTTCAGTGGCTACAACTGTGGGCAGTGTCGACACGGGCTGACTGGACCAAACTGTGATCAAAGGATCTCTGTGGGTAAGAGAATGGATGCTGCCTAAACTCAACACTGGCAGCCTGAAAATGCAATGTTTATCTTAGTTTAATATCTCAGTGGGCCTCAGAGAAATAGGGCAATATATCTGTTGAAGAAATGAGGGCAGCATTTATTGTTAGGAAAACCTCTGTGTTAATTTTTAAGAACATTTTCTTCCCTCCTTTCTCCCCTCACCTCAAAACCCCTTATTCTTCCCCCTACTGTCATCCTCCACCCCTTTAACCTCGCTCCAGTGAGAAGAAATATCATGCAGATGAGTGCGGCTGAGAAGCAGGCATTTGTGAACGCCTTGGACCAAGCTAAGACGACTGTCCACCCTGACCTGGTCATCTGTACACGACGGTACATACACATACAATAAACATAATTTTGTTATAATACATTATTCCATTCATTTTCTATGGAGATTGATCTTTATTCAGCCAGTCTTCGGTCTTGTCTGTGGAAGAGACAGCTGAGCTTTGCCCAAGAACCTGCGGGCTTAGTGTAGCTGAGTCTGGCAGTTGAAAGCTGAGTAATATTAGAGTGATCCCATGCTGTGTTTTTAAAGTTATCAGTTCAATCTTAAGATTTATCGTGGCAGCTTTCTGTTTAAGCTGCAGGCGGATGTGCACATTATGAGTTAAGGCAAGGGTAAAGAGCTTTATAATGTTCTAAGTAACAGTACATACAGGATAATTGTAGAGCACTGTGTAGGAAAAAACACAAGGTGACATTCATCTGCTGCTTCTTTCATCTGAAGGTACCAGGAGGTGTTTGGGCCTGATGGCAACACCCCGCAGTTTGAGAACGTTACCATTTACAACTACTTTGTTTGGAGCCACTACTACTCTGTCAGTAAAACGTACCTCGGGTCGGGCCAAACCAGCTTTGGAGGCGTAGACTTCTCCCACGAGGGCCCGGGTTTTGTCACCTGGCACCGCTTTCATCTGATTCAACTGGAGAGAGACATGCAGGTGAGAAGAGGGAAGGGAGGGAGGGAGGGATAAAGATGGGGATTGTGAAAAGGAAAAGGAGAAGGGGAAAGGGGAGATGGCCTTAGCGCTGATGGAGTGATGACATAAGTCAGGACCATAGAATCTATGAAAAGAGGAGGAATAAAAGAATGTAAGGATTTTAAGTGATGAAGACAAGGGATGAGGACAGAGAGAGGTAAAAAGGGTAATGGTTAAGAAAATTGGGGTTTGAAAGGGCAAAGCTAGCGGATACCAATATACTTCATATGATCTTTTTTGGGGTAAATGTAATTTTCGACATGTTCTGTAACAATTGATGCCTCCAATGTCCAACTTCTTTCTCTCCATATATGCAGAACATGCTGGGCGACTCCACCTTCGCCTTGCCCTACTGGAACTTTGCCATCGGGGGCAGCGAGTGTGACATCTGCACCGACGAGCTGCTCGGAGCCAGGAGCTCCTTCGACATGAGCTCCATCAGCCCCAACTCCGTGTTCTCCCAGTGGAGGGTCATCTGTGAGAGTGTGGAAGACTACGACACCTTCGGCACCATCTGCAACAGTGAGGACACATGCAGGAACACACCATGCACCGCACTGGGCAGGAAAGCAGTGTTGATTTACAGAGTAGTCTCAGCTGCATCAGAAAAGAGGGCAAAGAGCTCCTAAAATGAGCATGTAGAACATAAGCTGCTATAAATAATACCTCACAGCTACCGCATTCAATATTGCTCGCTGTTGCTACAGTTTGTTTGAAACAACTCAACGTTTGAGTTGCTATGTGCATCCAAAGTGCTGCATCTTAAAACTGTATTTTAAAACATTTTTCACTAAGTCTAGTTTCTCCATAGCAGCCATCAGCACAACCAAGTCTTAATTCCCATGAATGGGGCAAGCAGTTTTGTCAAGAATAAGGCAACTATGTGTAACACTGTAATAGGCTAGACTTAACGTGATCAGATTTGCAGGGATTGGATCTCATTCCACAGTGGCACCAGATTATAACCCTACTTTTGCTTAAGTTTTCAAACACACCGCATTCATACACGTTTTTTTTCCACTGGTGTTGAGGAATCAAAGAAGAATGTCAATCCTCTTTTAGCGTAGGGCTCTACTACAAACAGGGAAAGGGGCTTTTTTGAAACAATTGCATATGTATAAGACAAAAGCTGGGGTAATTTGGTAACAGGTACAACATGTGAGTGGCTAACGTGTGAGTGATCTGTCTCATTAATCCCCTTAGAGAGTCATGACAGGCCCGGTATTTCCTGCATCAACAAGCATCATCTCCTTAAATGGGTTAGGGGGGTTGCCTCATTTGTGCATGTGCTTGTTGAAGACAGGAATCTAGCAGTCTACCGGTTCCTTTGATCTGAGGGAATAATCTTCAAACAGACAGACAACTCAGTTATGTACCCTTCTGTTTATGTGCTCTTGTGTGTGTTTGTGTATGTGTGGGAGAGAACGCACAAAAAAAGAGATCATGCATGCGAGAAGAGGAAAAAAAACAACAACTTCTGTTCAGTCACAGAGCTCCCACTCACTACTGTGGACTTTTAGTGAATAATTAAAAAAGAAAACTGCCATCCTGTCATGTTAAGGACTGATCAAACTAGTCGAGCCTCCCACATAGAATTAAAAAGTAGTTCAATACATTTCTTATAATCTTTCTTTTGGTTTCTGTGGGGACAACTGGCCTGAATCTGAACTGAAATGCACCAACCATAAAATATACAACCGTCACTGTCGAGTTATCTTCTTTCCGAGTGTAAAGGTAACTATATTGGAGAACATTATCTTTGACCTTCGGTTCTGTCCTTGTCACACAGGCACAGAGACCAGTCCCATCAGGAGGAACCCAGCGGGGAATGTGGCACGGCCCATGGTGCAGAAGCTGCCCGAGCCCCAGGATGTGTTGGACTGTCTGGAGCTCAACGCCTTCGACACTCCTCCGTACTACTCCACCTCCTCTGAGAGCTTCAGGAACACCATTGAAGGTGAGCAGTTACTTCTCATGGGTTAGAATCGAAGCACCTGATAGTTCAGCCAAGACTCTTTCCTCCCAGAAGTTAGCTTTCATTTAAAGGTCACCTATTATGCATAAGCCACTTGTTCATGTCTTTTATACATCAACATGTGTCCCCTCTGTGTAAAGAGATTCTGAAAGTTTCAGGAAAAAATATTCGCTCTCTTTTTGTCCTGATCCATTTATATAAAAACCTGTCTGAAAATGAGCTGATCAGATTTTGGCAATGTTGTGATGTCATAAGGTTTTTTTTGGGTCGTGAAACCATTAGCCAATAACCAACCAAGGTAACACCTGTCCCGCCCACCTTATCACCTGAATGTACTCCTAGAGCACCATTGTGTTCTTTTCAACCAAATATCTCTCAGAGGGGCGTGAGGAGTGGCTCCTTATTTTCATCTAAAATAACAGACAGAGAATCAGCACTTTTGAAACAGGGCTGAAACAGAGGGGTTTATGGGATGCTACAATGCATGATTTGTTTGGTATTTCAAGCAAAACACTTCAGAGACATGTTTTGTATATATCTAAGACCTATTATATATTGATGGAAAACAGTATAATAGGGGACCTTTAATGTCTTCTTTTCAATGTTCCAGGCTACAGCGCCCCCCAGGGGATGTAGGACCCGGTGGTCCGAAGCCTCCACAACTTGGCCCATCTCTTCCTCAACGGGACAGGCGGGCAGACTCACCTCTCGCCCAATGACCCCATCTTTGTCCTGTTGCACACATTCACTGATGCAATCTTTGACGAGTGGCTCAGCAGACACCAACCCGGTACACAAAGAATGAAGTACATCGTGGTACAGCAAATCACTCAGAGAAATACATGGATAAACCTTATTTTCTCAACCTGCAGGTGAAGTAGTCTACCCCGAGGAGAACGCTCCCATTGGGCACAATCGAAATTTCAACATGGTTCCTTTCTGGCCTCCTGTCACCAATGCTGAGATGTTTGTCGCTGCCACAGAAAACCTGGGATACTCCTATGAGGTCCAGTGGCCCAGTAAGTAGCAGCACACACACATTCACAAAACACAATGACCCCTTATGACCTTTTTGTCCTTTTTCCATAGCTCGTGCCTACACTGTGTCTGAGATCATCACCATTGGCGTTGTTACGGCGGTGCTGCTGGTGGCAGTGTTGGGGGGTGTCATCGCCTGTGCAGTGCGCGCCCGCTCTTACCGCTCAGCTGAGGCCCTGGAGCCACTGCTGGGAGAAACTTTCCGATGCTACTCAGAGGATGACCGAAGGTTGGACAAATCACAGTCCGTTGTCTAAATCCAAGCCTCTCAAGAGTGGCCATAACATTTTAATGCATGTTTGCTTTTGTTTATTCCCATACTTCTTCTAATAAAGTTGAACTGGTTTTGAATCCAGGTTCTGTGTGTCTGTGTCAGCGTATTGGCTATACATTGTAGGGCTGGAGGAGCAGTTTGTGTGACACATACAGCAGGAGAGATCACACTGCAGCCAAGAGGTTGGATTGCGCAGCACAGCTTTTAATGAATGGGCAAATTGTTGTTGGTCGACAATTATAGGCGACTATTTCTCCCCTTTACTATATCTGTTTTAGCTACCAGTTACATGGTGCTCATATATTCATGAAGACAATGTTCATCTGTAAGATGAATGGCAATCTTTCTATGAGGTTTGATGTACCTATTCCAATCAATTTGTCTAATTCAGCACTATCAGTGTGTGAATAATTAGCAGTGCAATATGAACCGACCACAGACAGGTCTTAATACTTTGATGCAGACCCAAATGTGCTTGTCTTCAGCCTAAGGCTAACCAGTAAACCACTATGATGTAATGGTTCTTCTCATCGAGTCAGATCAATTCGATTCAAAGGTCCATGCCTTCATAACAGCACACACACCGCCCTCATGTGGACATAACATATAACTGCCACAGTATAAAATGCTTCAATATACAAATCATGCACTCACCCCATAATCATTTGTTATAGTTAACACATATATTATAGATTAAAAGCTATATTTCTTTCGACGGAATAAGGTAAAAATGGACACACTGACTTAGTGTCTTAAATCTGAGCAGTTTTAGGATAGGAACAAATTTGATTCACATTAATCGAAAAATGTCACGGTGGTAAAATAGAAAGCAATCATAGAAAATAGCAATTAGAACTCTATGGGGAAACATTTTGAGACAAAAAAAACTTCTGCTTTTTAAATGAATTAAGAATCGTGCATAAAGTATGAATGAATTATACAAACAATCTAAATTATAGGAAGATTTTCTGCGGTTTTGAAACTCATAACAAGATGATGGGGCATATCATGCGGTGTTTCTCTGCTATAACTGCGTGACGGTGTCTAATTATTTCTCCCTCCAGGCTATGCCAATGAATAAAGCAACATGACATAAGCATGCATGCTCCTCTGCACCACATTTTCCATTAGTTCAACTAATTTGCTTTTGACAACCTAGACTTACAGTGACATGAAACTGGTGGCACCTACATTTAATTGAATAAGCTGTAATTTACTGTCACTACTGCAGGCTTACAGTATGGTAAAACTTCCAGTCTCAATATTTGTATCTTGCTTTCAGAAAAGCTAGATTGTGAGACTCAGCACTGGACTGAATTGCTTAGGAATGGCACTTTTGCAATGCTTGCTGGTATCTCATGGGAATGGATGGAGAAAAAGGGATTTTCTTTTGGATCCACAATCAGTTGGCTGTTCTTTCTGTACCAGCAGGTTACACTCAGCAAAAAGACAATCCTGGAGATTTATTAATATGGGTAGATGTGACAGTCACAGAACAATCATTTGGCCACTGCTACTTTTCCAAGAGGGAGGGTCATTAGTGCCTTTTATGTCAAGTGTGCTCACATGGAAGTCCTCCAAGCTGCTGTAAAAATGCATTACAGTTCTTCGGCCACATTGGATAGGTCCCACTGTAGGTTTAATATGTGAGGGAAAAGAGGGTGAGAATGGCCAAGAGGTTAAAACAGTCCTGTTGCCTGTGGCCTGCTGGCAAATCCTTTATAAATGTTTGAAAGAAAGGGAATTTGAGAAAGTTATTGAAAACAATAAGGTAAGTTTTCTCACTTCATAATAGAGAAGAAAGAGATATTGCAATGCATCTGCCCAACAGAAACTTCCAAAAGAAGTGTATGGAAATTCATTGAAGATCACATCATAACAAATTAGAAAATATGTAGATTTATGTGTCAAGATGCCAAACAAGAAGCAGATATTAGCGTTTTATCTCCCAGAAACTAACAACTATTATGTTGAAAAACATTCCAGTTAATTTCCAAACAGCATCTAGCCATTTCTCCATCTTAAAACCCTCTTCACGCCAGCCTTTAGGCGAGGCAATTGTTCATCTGGAGAAGGATAAACCAGACTGCGATGGCTGGATTTCAATAAAGCTTGCAATGTGAACAGATGGCTTTGATTAATGCGGAGGTTCCAGACAGGATCTCCCTAGATGCCTCCTCTTTCCTAAATGAGACATTTGTGTGCAAATTAATTATTTGTCAACTTGTCAACATTAACTCCAGTAATTAAAGGAAAAGTTTTCTGCATTAACAGAAAAATGGCACAGGTTTACTCTCCCTTGGCATTTCTCTAGCTCAGGTTGAGAACGTTTTTTGAGTTGTTTTTTCAGCTTCCTCTAAAATGTTGTATCTCTTATACTTATTGTCCTGTCCTTAACATTAATTTGTTCCTCTTTAGGTACAGTACGAGAAATATATTAAGATGAATCATGCACAATATTATTTCACCAATACAGGATGATGAAGTGTTATGGGTTTAGATAACACTTGATTAATTATTTAAAATGAACTTTTACCAGCTGCAACATGAAAGCGATGAACACATGAATGCATCAATAATTAGAGTCCCATGCTATACATTATTCTGAAATAGGCCATTCCTCATACTTATTACTTTGAATTGTTTTTATCTTTTAGTATATTTTTGGTTTATGTATACACAGTGGTATTTTCACCTTTATTTAATTACCCTCAGTCCTTTTTCCTCCACTGCCTCTCCTGTTGTCACTGTAGTCTTCTTCTTATTCTAGTGATTTAGTGCTACCCTGTCATACCATGATAATCTGTGTGACACACACTGAGTGATCCTGAATATGTATTCACATTTGACAAAGACCGAAAGAAAGAGTGTGAGAGAGAGAGAGACAAAGATCAAAACAACGACAATCCAACACCCCCTAAAGCAAAATCTGTTCACTGGTTCGAAATAGATGCTAAAATATGCAAAACAATTGCATCTATCCTTAAATGTAACTTCAGGCACAGACATCCTTGTTTAAAAGTTTAGTTATGGCAGATTTTCTTAAAACTTCTCTATGGTCTGCATCTGTGGAATTTGAAAGTCAAACAATGTGATATCCACTAGCTTATCAGTATTATCCCGGAGAGACAACAGAGAGAATCAAGAAAGATTTCTGTGTTGTTCGCATTCCTCATTAAAATATAATCTGCTTTAAGGTGCCTGCTTGTTTCACTACAACATAATACACAGAGGTACATCAGGAAGTAAGACAGCAGAACAGCAGAATTCCTTAACTATAAAATGTTCTGTATACAAAACTCTAACAAATTAACATTTAATAAGATCCCTTACAGTACATTCAGTCATACAATGTTACACAATCCCAAACCCACGTGTGATGTGGCTCTAAGGACTACTAACATTAATACAATTAAATTAATGAATGTGAAGAGACCTTAAATGTTACAGTATAAATAAATTCATATAAAACATGTAGTATTTCTAAATAAAGATTGCACATTGCACTATAACAATACTTCCACAACAGATCAATGTATAGGTTATGAAAACAGTAAGCAATATTAAATAGGTAAATAAATGCACAATATTAAAGATTATTAAAAGATAGATAAAGTACATTGATAAATATAGCAATCATGACACACTTATTGATTAGAATATGAGAATGAAGAAACAAAATTCAACAGTCTTCTAAAGCAAATATCCTAAAACCTTATTGCCATACAAAAGATTGGCAGAAGCACTTGGCATGTTGTGGGTCTTAGGAGTTAATCACAGTGGATAACCCTATATGAACAGATGTAAGACAGTAGTAAATACACCTGACATTGTGACAGGAAAATTATCTATTGCATTCATATGCACTGTCGGCAGAATCAGAGGTTTTGGAGATGGTAATTCATTCATGAATGTGTTGGCAATGATGCATATCATTGCATATCTATATTATAAATACCTCGAACAGGATAACTAAGACACAATATATTATCATCAGTTGGCTTGTTTAATAAATGCCTTTGTTGCTTCTGCGGTTACTCTAAAATAGCCTGTTTGCAACACAGAGGTAATTTGGATAGGGAAATGAAGATTTTTATAACATACACAAATTATTTCTAATAACACCTTCACAGGAATCTGGGTTTATATTGGGCAATTGTGCACGTTAACACACCCAGTTGCAGTTAGAGGTAGCTTCCCGAAATTAAACTAGAATTAATTAACAGTTTTTTACTCCTCTATACGACTTTACCTGTCCTGGTTTACCCTTCTCATGTTTGTGTGAGGCTGTGATACCGGGAGGCAGCTACAATTGGACACAGTGGGCTGTGTCTCAAGAAAGTACCGTTAGGACTACAGTTCCCTTGGTCTTCTTGAGGATGTCAACAGCTTCAGCGTGAGTTACCCCCTCTAGACAATGTCCATTCACAGCAATGATCTGATCTCCACGTTTCAGCCGGCCGTCCTCTATGGCCGCCCCCTGTAGAGGACAAGAGCAGTCCTTCACCATGCGCAGATCAGACATAACAAGCTAAAAACACCATTACACACGGTACACCCAAAAGACAAGTAACTGAACTGAAAGGAAATGTAAAAGCTGATATTACATACAGTAATGACAATTTATCACATAATATACATTTCTGGAAAATAATAGGAAGAATAGCATTGTAATAATACATGGGATTTGTATAGCGCCTTTCCTAATGCGCAAAGCTAGAGGGAATAAGTGAGTTTTGAGAGATTTTTTGAAGGATTCAAGTGTTGGGCTTTCGGATGTGACTGGGAAAGGAGTTCATTATGAATGAATAAGGTGTAATGTTTTCAACTACTGAAACCTTTTTAAAGTTACAGGATATTAACATAATCCTTATTTACTGGCAGATGTTAAAAAACTCAAAGGCTCCCAACCTGTGTGATCCTTTCCTTAACTGTATATGAACACTTGCCAGTATTTACGAACATTTTTAAATCTGTGCTGTAGTGAGACAAGCTTTTCGAACCAGGATCCCCATGATATTTCCCTGA